AAGGGAAGGGAAGGGAAGGGAAGGGAAGGGAAGGGAAGGGAAGGGAATGTAGAGAAGTTTTGTATATGTGGAAGATCAGAAAAACAAAGATAGTCAACTTTCAAGCAAATCTCTTGAATGTCACTGAGACAATTTCTTCTGGATATCACAGAAGGTTGCTTAAATAAAAACAGGTAAGTTAATGATTTTGAATCACTGATTTTCTATACAGAGTAGTATTAAACAGTCACAGAACAGACGAGACAGTGCTAGACCTTTCACCTTCTCTGCCCTATTTTTATATATTTTTTTAGGGAGGAATCAAAATGTGCTTTTGTTTGACTTGGGCACATGGTGGTCAAATGTGGACATGCACAAACCAAAAAAAAACTCTTTTTATCTGGTGTATGTTCCAGAAAAAGGGGAATGCTAACATATTCACTGTTCAAGACAGAATTGACAGGAGTGGAAATAGAGTACATCTTTCTAGCTGAGTGAAAATTCTCATTTGGATAGAGAGGGATAACTTATTTCTGTGGCTTACACTTTGCTCCTGTGTTAGCGAGAGCAGCTTTCATAAATCATGTATAAAGTACTTATTTTGGTGACAATTATGACATAATTTCTTATAGACATGGAAGAGCTAAACACTTAAGCCCCAGTATAAAAGTTCAATTTTTCTCATCTCTCATCACTGAGCTATCCTGCAAAAAGCTTAAATTAAAGGCAACACCCAGTTTAAGACATTTTTTTTCCTGCTAGAGAGTTTTTAAATATCCACAAGAGATTATTAATTTATCAGGTGCATTTTCTTCAGCCATATCTGCCACATTCATTAATACTGAAAGGAACTGACAGTCACAGAAGAGAGAAAAAACATCTGCTCCTGGCAAAACTGTGTTGTTTGGTAATCAGAATTCTGCTTATGCAAGGCTGCAATTGTCCTCAATTCCCTGAACAAGGACCTTTGCAGGTCTCCTGTGCTCAGTGACTCTATTTTGTTCCTCATACTTTAAGTAACCAGATTTCCCTTTCTCTGTTAAAGAAGAAAATTACTGCAACAGAGAGATATTTCTAATCATTTACAAAATAAATTGGGATAAAATATCTGTTAAAATAAGTAATGTAAAAGAAATGAAAGAAACTTTTTAGTTGCTCCCTGACAAAAACCAAATATAGGAAGTCAAACAAACTTCCTCAGTAGGAAGTGCAAGAGTAATTCTATTTACTGGGCAAGTCAACTCTGTCTTTCATTTATTTTCATGAAAAATAGAAACAGGAACTTTAGAAAAAAAAATAAATTGATTAGTTAAACAAAATGTTACTTGGCGGTGATGGGTTTTGTTTTGTTTCAATTTATTTTTGTTTAAGTTTTGTTGTTTGCAGTCATCCTTTGACTAATATCAGTGTTACCAAATTTGGAAACATAATGAGAAGGAGAGAGAAAAAGAAATGCCTACTATGCCTTCTGCTTTCAAGTTCACTGATGTGATAACTAACCTAGCCAGAGTATTCCACAAATAGAGTGACAAGCAAAACTAATTTGAGGTGAGAGCTGCCAAAGGTAAAATCAATAGCCTAATACTTAATTTTACAAGGACTCTTCAAGACAAATCAAGAGTAGCATCACTGTGCATACTTAGAAATATTGTGCTCATAATTTTTTTTTTTTTCCTTGAGCTATTATTTTGCATGGAGTGATTGCCCAAGTGCCTGAACTGCTACATAAAATCACTCTGCCACATTGTTTGACAATAATAACCGGAATCAACTTTTTGCGGGTAATCTCAAGACAATTTAAAATATACCAGTGTTGTTAAAATAAGATATTGAGGCAAAGAAGAACAACAGCAACAAAAAAGAAGTGGAATGGATCAGGGCAGAGATCAGAAATCAACCACACTACGAACAGCATTAAAAAGAAAAGTGAAATGGTTCAATCTATGGCAGATTGTACATCTGATTGTTATTTTCAGACTCAGTTTAAAATTATTCATTATTTTAGTGCATATAAAGTGAAAAATGAAGAAATACATGATTGATAACACATACTGTGTTGCTTCAAAACAAATCTTAATGTGAAATATTTATTTTGCTTAATGTCAGTGTAGATGTAAGAGATGAAATTGAAGTAATTTGTTAAGCACTTAACAAAATCAGATGTTTTAACTATCAAAAGCCAGTATGTTTTTAGGTGGTCATCTCCTTTATTTTATTTTTTTTTAATTCAAGAACACTAAAATCAATTAATTATACATTGAAATTTTGAATAAAATAACATATATTCAAATATTTTATATTTTTCAGCTCTCTGAGATTACAGGACAGTGATATAGAGCATGATCAACAGCAATATTTCTGCATATAAGAGCTGCTCCAATAGTAATGCCTCCTATTTTATTATTTTGGCCCATGATGTCAGAGGGGAATGTTGGTGGGATACACAGCCTTACCACCAGTATTCCATCACGTGCTGTTGCCACATGGAAGACAAAATGGCGCATGGTTGTGACTGCATTGATTAGCAGTGTTTTAAATCTGAGAACTTCCTCTAGAGAACAGCTACTGTGCTCTTTGTAGCTGTTGTATTTCCCAAGGGAGTAAATAGGAGGCATTACTTTTGGAGAAATCAAGGTAACCTGAGCCAGATTATCTGTAAGTATAGATATATATAGACACAAATAGATAAACAAATAAATAAATAATAAAAACTTAGATTTTCACATTACCTAAGTAAAGCCTTCAACTGGGCTATTTTTATATATTGCCTATATTTTTATACATCACCTATATTTGAGAAAGAACACTGCATCTTGTTATTAACTTTTTTAAGAGTGACCAGTGGCCAGGAAGAAGACAAAGATGCTGAGTTAACAGCCCTGCCCAGTAAGATATGAACTGCAGTACAAATCTTCGCTTGAACATGACAACTAGAGAGGTTTCCTTTGAAATGTTAAGAACATACTCTCATAAAATAATGCCTATCAAATCTTCTAAGAAGTTTCTAATTATCCAAGGGATATACTCCAGCAAAGATTAAAAAGTACTCCAGAAGTTTTTAATAGATTCTGTCTGGAAAATAGCAGGCAATTCAATAAGCCAATTTACTGCTGCTCTTCTGCGTCTCAAACTGACAGAAATCTGTTCTGAGGCCCTGGCTTTCTATTTTTAAAGCATTGTTGCCTCCTTAAAAACAAAAACAAAACAAAACAAAAATAATACAATGAATTTACTCTGGGTTAAAATTGCAGTTCTCTCATAACTAGATTAAAATGGTAGCTTCCTTCTGCTCAGATCTGCTTCTCAGGATGTCAAAGCCACAGTGCACAAAATAAAATCACAGTGTTATGTAGCTCCACAGCCCACACCTACCAAGAATGCAGGATCTTTTGATTTCCACAGGCTTGTCACATACAGCACATTTTTGGCCCCAGAAGCCCGAAAACAAGGTCAGCTGAAAGCTTCAGGTTATTAGACAAAGCACACAGCTTTCAGGACCCGTTATGCTCCTGCTATGCGACAGCTTTGTGCAATAATGACAACGCTTTGATTAGCAAGCTTCTCAGTGCAAAACGGAAACACAGTAGTCAGCAAAGCAGCATTTCTATTTCCATTCCGGCTATGCAGACATGCTGAAGTAATGATCCTGGCAATACGCTAGGAAAACATTAGAAACACTTTAGTAAGCAAATAATTTAATTACAGCCCTCTCCGAGGCACTTTATACTGTGCGACCCCTGACCTTTTATATTGCTGTACCTAAACTCAGCATGGGATTCACACTTCCCATTCCTGTCACAGGATCTCTCCATCTTGTACCATTTAATATAGTGTGCTCCAGGTGTTCTGTGGTGAATGAATAGTTATATTACTACCTGTCAGACACAATCACACTCTATTCATCATCCACGGCTGGCTGCGTGAAGCCCTGTTTCCAGCAGGCTCCCTCTCCATTTCCTTGTTCAAACGTCTGCAGTGCTTTCGGCCCATCTGTCAAGCCTGTCATTTAGAGGGAAAACAGTATCAGTGCTTTAAATATATGGAGTTCTCTATTGAAACAGTGCTGTGATTGAACTGTCAGCATTCTCAGTATCACAGACAGTAATTCATGATTGGTCAGAGCTCCATTTAGGTTGCTATTACTGCATTGACATTGCCGGGTCACACTGAGAGTTTTTTCCCCTCTGCAGTCGGGTCTATAAATAGCACAATTAACCTTTCAAGAATTACAAAACGTTCTCAGTTCCCCTCCTCCATGAATTCACTCACGATCTGTGCCATTTATAATAATCAAGGGGAAAAAATTCTCCAGGAAAGGGCATTTCTCTCTCCCGAAGTATACGTCCTGTGTCAGCAAAGAACAAATACTGTAATGTCCTTTGTCCTGCCATTTCTCCTGCTATGATCAGCAGGCTTGCCTCAAGTTCCACTGCTCCAGGCTCAAGCCTGATCTGTTCAGCCCATAAGCTTATGTATTGCTTTGAGCTGTAAACACTATTTAAAAAAAGATTTGAATATTTAACAGAATCCAGAAATAAAGTAATTCTGAAAGACCAAAACAAACAAAACAAAACAAAAAATTTAAAAAAAATGTTTTTTGTCATATACAATTACAAGCTTTTTTGTTTGTTTTTTGTAGGTTTTGTTGTTGTTGTTGCTGTTGTTGTTGTTTTGTGTTTTTTTTTTTTTTATAAAGAACCCTTTAGCTTAAGAGAAACATGAAACAGAGCAATTCTCTGTGGATGAGAGCTCATATATGTTTCCTTCTGGAACAGATGACAATGAGAGAACATGGTTTTTCCATACAGCCACGAGATGAGTCCATCTGGTGAATGCTAATCTCTGTGTAATTTATGTCACCTATTAGCTGATATCTCTCAGGAGCTCAAGGCGACTGAAGCAGCTTGGCTTTCACTCACATCTTTGTAAAACAAAGCAGTGTTGGTAAGCTTACTGAACAGCAGATCAGGTTTTCTCTGTTCCTGTCCCTGAACAATTTACTACAGCGTTGACACAGGTAAATCTGGGCCGAAATCTGTGTTTGCACTCTCACCCACAGCTTATCCCAGCAGCTAGAGCCATCGTCCGGGGACTTGCACATCTCCTTGCACTATCCCAGAATCCCTCTTTCGGGGGCAGGAGTGGACAGCAAAACAGGGCAAGAGAGGCTGAGCACTCAGGAGATACAGATAGGTTTAGAGAGAAATCAAAGAGGTTAGCTCAAGTCACCAGGGGAGCAGAGCAGTGTGGAGAAGAAAGATGAGCGCCTCAGCTGCCTCCTTCAAGCTAAGAACAAAGTCCTAATTTTGAACACAACTGTGATGTCTCAGAGGACTTGCTGGGTTAAAAGCTTAGGGCTCTAGTCTTGATTACATTTTCAGATGTAGACGTGGTCTTGTCACAGTTCTTCTCTGGGGAGGTGGTTGGACTTCTATGATTGACGCCAAATATACACAACCAATCTATCCAACCTAAAGTAATTACTGAGATTTCCAGTACTCATACTGCATTAAAACATGTTCACTGAATCATTTACAACACTTTGGTGATCTCTTATTGAGGAAAAAAAATAAATTGAAAATACAAATCCTCAGTGAAGTTTGCTTACCAACATTTCTCTGCACAGTTTTAAAAATACTGTTTTCTGAAAATCAGCTAAGCTGTATCTTTCATAAAAAGAAAAGGAAAGCCTCACCCCCCTGAATTCACATTGTGTAAGATGTAAAGACCATAATGCTGCATGCACGTAAGAAACATTAGTGACAGTAGAAGGCTTACACAAGGATAAATTATTTAGTATCTGCATACGGAAAGGCAGCAGAGAAAGAGGCAGAAAGGTCTTTTTAAGCAATATTATCTTCTTATTACAGGCACAGACTGAAATTAATTATGTAGTTTCAACCAGCCTGTGAATATTTTGGACTCTGAAAGTAAAGTACAGGGAGGAAATTACTATGTGTTGATAGTGATTTCCTGAATGTCTTTTTTAGCCTTCCCCACCATGAATGCAACTGTCACAGCTTATTAGAGATACTGAATAAGTGCAATTAAGAAATAATTTCATCTAGTTTCTCCTTTCTTGGAGAGAGTTGCAAAGCAGAGAGAGAACAGAGCCCTTGTTGTTAGTTTTAGCATTTTTAATGAATACTTCAGTATCTGTCTGCACTCAATCTGAAAGCAAAAGTTTTCACTTATTATAAAGGCAGAATAAGTGTAAGTCTCATCTCATTAACTGTCATATTACCAGACTGTATGCTACACCATTCAGATTTCACTGAGCATTCAGAATTGCTTATGTACGATGAAAACAGTCTGCTGAGACTTTCCCTTTCAGATAAATATGGTGGCATAAAGACAGAGGTCATCTTTATTACTCACTCTTGCTTGGCAGTGCATTAACTCAAAATGACAAATGCCTTTTGTTAATAATAAAAGAAAATTAAAAAAAAAAAATCAACTGAAGGAGCATTTGAAAAATAAAATATTCACATCTAAGAATCACTTCTGATTTTGTAGACTAACAATACTTTCTCTCCTCCTGTTCTTTCTGTTTTGGTGTTAAATGGCACAGTACATTCTTTGTGTATTACACCACCTCATGATAATTATGGTGTGCTGACACTACTTGTCATTCCTAAACCTGCAACATTATTTGTGGGATGAGATTTCAATAGCTGATTGTTCCACAGAATATGGAAATTTGCACAAGTCAGCAAGACTGGTTATAGCTCACATCATTCTTTAAGCCTTCACATTTTGGCTGTGCTTAAACCAAATACTCATACAAATCTCAGACAATCAGCCTACATTCTGAACATGTCACCACATGTAGTAAAAACAGATAATCCTCATCGAAAGTCTATCACACATTTGTATCAGGATATGCTGAACTCAATTCCTAAACAATCTTTTAAAGATTTTAGACATCAAATACACACATTTAGACACAACACTAAATGTCATATACAGAGATGCCGACACACAAGACTGTACTATTTTTGTTGCTAGAGCTAGCCATTATGTCCCAACTAAAAGTGCTGTCTCTCTCTCTTTCCAGAGCTATATCCTACAAATGGAAGAAAAATGAGAAAAAAAGATTGCTCTATGTTCCAGTCAGCCTCATCCTCACCCCTGGAAAGGTGATGGAACAACTTGCTCTGGATGCCATCTCCAAGTAATTGATGAGAAGAAGGTAATCATGAGTAGTGAATATGGATTCACAAAGAGGAAATGGTGAATGTCTTGACAAACCTGATAGCCTTCTATGATGTCATCACTGTCTGGATAGATAGAGGGAGACCAGTGGATGTTGTGTACCTTGACTTCAGCAAGACTGATACTGTCTACTACATCTTTGTTATGAAACTTAAAAAGTGTGGAATAGATGAGTGGTTGGTGAGGTGGGTTGAGAACAGGCTGACTGACTGAGCTCAGAGGGTTCTCATCAGAGTCCGGTTGAAGGCCTGTGACTAGCAATGCTCCTCAGGGGTTGGTACTGAGTCCATTCTTGTTCAACATCTTCATTAATAACCTCAGTGAAGGGATAGATTGCACCCTCACAAAGTTTGCTGATGATACAAAAGTGGGAGGAGTGGACTCACCAGAAGGCTGTGCTACCATTCAACAAGACCTGGACAGGCTGGAGAGTTGAGCAGGAAGGAAGCTGATGAAGTTTAACAAGAGCAAAGATAGAGTCTTGCACCTGGGGAGGAATATCTGCAGGCATTTGTGCCCATCTCCCTCAATTTTTTTAATAGGAGATACGCTCCAGCCCTCCAACCATCTTAGTGGCCCTTCTTTGGGCCCATTCCAAACATTCTACATACTTCTTCTCATGGGGGACCCAGACCAAGATGCAGTACTCTAGATAGAGCCTCACAAGGCAGAGCAAAGGGGGACAATCCTCTTCCTGCCCTGCTGTCACCCTGTTTTGATGCAGACCAGGATACAGTTGGTTTTCCAGACTCCAAGCACTCACTGTTGGCTTACACCCAGCTTTTTGACCACCAGGACCACCAAGACTAACCTCCACCTGGAATACAGCCATAGACAGCACTTCTCTCGCTGGCACCATCCAAACAATTCTTTATCCACCAAACAGTCCACCGTTTGAGTTCATAGCTCTCCAGTGCAGAAATAAGGAGGTGGCGCAGGCCCATGTTCTGCACAAATCTAAGTAGATCACATGAGCTGCCCTTTATTTGTTGATGCCATCATTCTATCCTAGAAGGCCATCAGATTGATCAGGCACAATCTGCTTTTGATGAAGCCATGCAGACTGTCTCGGGTCACCTGCTCATCTTGCATGTGCCCTAACACTTCTTCCAAAAGGATCTGTTCTATGATCTCTACAGGCAGTCATGAGGCTCACCAGCTGTCATTCGCCAGGTCTTTCTTTTTCCCTTTCTTAAAATTAGGAGTGATGTTTCCCTTTCTCCAGTCACTGGGGACTTCATCTCGCAGCCACGACTTTTCAAATGTGTGTAGAGTGCATCACACATTTCCTTCAGAATCCTAGGCTGTACGTAGTTCAGCCCATAGACTTGTACACATTCAATTTCATGAGGTTGTCTCCAACTCGCTCTTCTTGTACAATGGGATGGGTTTTACTTCCCCAGCCCCTGCCTTGTAGTTCAGACACAAAAGGCATGTGAAGCCTGACCAGCATGAAGGATGAGGCAAAGAACTCACTGAGTACCTCAGACTTCTCCATGTCTGTCGTAGGCAATTCTCCTTTCCCATTTATCAGAAGCGGTACACCCTCCTTGGCTTTTCTCTCCTGAGAATGTATCTGTAGATTTTTTTTTTTTTTGTATCCCTTTTTATTTTTTGTATCCCTTGCCAAGTTCAGCTCCACCTCAGTTTTCTTAGCCTCATCTGCTTTTGCATTCTTGTATTCTTCCCACACCACATACATCTGCTTCCATCACATGTACGTTTCCTTCTCCTTCAGCTTGACCAGGAGGTTCTTATTCAGCCATGCCAGTTTT